CCTTTCCAAAAAATCACTTCGTCTTCCTCTCCGTTAAACCCCATTCGTGAGTTGCTTGTTTGGGCGCGAAACTGCTGTTCCTTCGGCATTAGTTCATCTTCTTCATTTCTTGGATCTCAATTACGGAAGAAAAGCATCGGAGCCTTCCGTCCTCCCGTCTAGCCTCTTGTACATTCTGGCCGAAGACTCCATTCCAGATTCGCATCCTTGCCGTCTGTCGAAGCATTTGTGCCGCCTATGAAATAGGAAAAAATTGATTAGGTAATAGATTTATGTTTAATAGGTAAGTTTTTTTAGTGGTGTGTATGTAAATAGATAAGTTTGGGTGTGAATTAAGTAAATAAGATAGTTTTAAGTGTTAGGTATGTAAAAAGCCCTTTTAGATATTCATCACCGCTGGAGGAGAGAGACTAAGTACTTAAAACAGTAAGCACAAAAGGGAGAATCCGCGACGGCCTCAGCCATCCACGTCGCGATGGAGAAATCTATGTCTTCTGCTGACGAAGAAAGGGTTTTAGTTTCTTCCTTCCCTTACTTTTTTTTTTCCTTTAATTTAAAAATATTTTAATTTAATTTTTTTTCGAAATTTGTAGGCCCGCAAATGGCCATGTGAACCCGCGGCTGTTAAATGAGTACCTAACTATGAAATCATTCAAAGCCCCCAACCGTTTCGTCCAATTCAGCCATTCCCACTTATATTGGCGACCACCTCTAGGGTTTTTCCTCATCGGATCACGTTACTTCTCAGGTACAGATCGTCTCTTTTCGTTCCCAATCTAATCTGACTGAGTTACGGCTTGCCCTTTCCATTTGGTTTCCAAAACCAGATTTTGTTTCTAATGTTGTTTTTATCGTCAATTTTTGTCTCATTTGTAGCTTAGAGTGAGTTGCGCATAGATTCGTTGTTTGGTGTTTTGGGTGCGGTGATTTTAACTCTTTTGTCTATCATTTGGAGCGTTTTTTCTTGCTGTTTGCTTGCGAATGGACTGTGGTTTGTGATTTTGGTCTTTATATCATATAAAAAAAGCTTTTTTTTTGTGATTGTTGGGCAGGATTATCACCTAATACATTCATGGATGTTGTCAAAGCAACTCTTAAGCGAGCTTCTACGGCTCATGATAGTGTGGCTGTAAGAGCAGAAAATAACAGCTACAGCTTTGCGGAGATTGTTTCATCTGCATGGAGCATCTGCAATCATTTGCGCAATGGAAATTTTAAAAGTGTAAGCATGTCTGTTTACCATGTAATTGAACAAAGTATCACGAGTGTTTAGCGT